ATGAAAATACCGTGACGAGAGTGTGCCACTTCAAGGCCCAAAAAATATTTTAATCTGCCCAACTCTTTTACTTCAAACTCTTTTAGCAAACACACTTTTAGGCTATCCATTTCTGCTTGATGATTTCCTGTTACAATTATATCATCCACATAAACAATTAGTGCAGTAACTCCCCCTAAGGTTGAATGCTTAGTAAACAAAGTGTGATCTCCCTGACTTTGTTTATATCCCATATCTTTCATCACAGTGGTAAACCTGCCAAACCAGGCCCTAGGGGACTGTTTCAGTCCATAAAGGGCCTTCCTTAGCTTACAAACTTTGTCTTTCTCAAAGTTAAACCCAGGTGGGACCTCCATGTAAATTTCCTCTTCAAGGTTGCCATGTAGGAAAGCATTCTTGACATCGAATTGCTGCAAATTCCATCCATAGTTAGCTGCTAGAGATAACAAAATTCTGACAGTGCTCATTTTTGCGACAGGAGAGAAAGTCTCATGATAGTCAATCCCATATGTTTGTGTGTACCCCTTAGCTACTAGTCTTGCTTTATACCTTTCTAGTGTTCCATCGGACTTGTATTTAAGGGTGAATACCCATTTACAGCCAACAAGTTTTTTGTCATTAGGAAGCTCTACTAACTTCCAAGTTCCATTTTTCTCAAGTGCATCCATTTCAACTTTCATAGCTTCTCTCCACTCTTTGCTATCTAGTGCTTCGGTAACATTTTTTGGGATAGCGGTAGTGTTTAAATGAGCAAGAAAACTTCTATGATTGTTGGACAAATTATCATAGGATATAAAGTGAGACATTGGATACCTTGGCCTTTTTGTACATGCTCTAACATCCTTCCTTATTGCAATTGGAAGATCTCTAGCATCCATGGATATATTCTGCTCCTCTAAATCAGTCCCATCAACTTCAGTTTCAGGGGGCACAATTTGCTCCTCTAAAACAGTCTCATTGATTACAGTTTCAAGAATTGGGTCAGATTTTGGGACTTGCACAGGTTGGATAATAGGTGCTGCCCTTCTTGTGTAAACTTGTAGTGGACGAGTAGCATTAGAAGTCTGTAATGAAGTGGTTATAGGACTTGACTCGGGAGTCTTGGGCATAAAAGAAAGGTCTTTGAACAAATCATCCTTATCTTCGATGCATTCCTTCTCCCCCTGAAGATAAGGTTTGGAAAAAAAGGATTCGGTTTCGACAAAAGTGACATCAATAGACACAAAATTCTTTTTTGTTGTAGGTTGATAACACTTGTAACCTTTTTGGGTAGGCGAGTAACCAAGAAATATGCATTTAATAGCTCGGGGATCAAGTTTTCCTCGATGTGGAGAATGAACATGGACAAATGACACACACCCAAAGATCCTAGGAACTAGGTGGTTTGAAGTTTTGAAATTTGGGTAGAATTTGGAGAGGAGCTGAATGGGGCTGTTATTCTGAAGAATTTGAGAGGGTAAGCGATTAATCAAGTAGGCTGCAGTAAGAGCAGCCTCCCCCCAATATTGTTTTGGAACATTTGTGTGGAATAAAGATGCTCGGGTAACATTGAGAATATGCCCAATTTTTCTTTCAGCCACCCCATTTTGTTGTGGGGTGTGGACACATGATGATTCATGAATAATACCATGTTCAGTGAAAAAGGAAGACAATGTTTGATTAAAATAATCTTTGGCATTGTCAGAACGAAATCGTTTAATGGTAGTCTCAAATTGGGTTTTTATCATTTGGAAAAACAATTTAAATATTTGAGTGACTTCACTTTTTTGTTTTAAGAGATACATCCATGACACTCTAGTACAATCATCAATAAAAATGACAAACCAATGGGCCCCCGATATATTTGAGATATTGGATGGCCCCCAAACATCACTATGGATTAAGGAAAAAGGAGTAGACATTCTTTTATTATTATTAGGAAAGCTGACACGTTTGTGTTTAGCAAGTTCACAATCATCACAATGAAAATTTTCTAAGTTTATACCTTGAAACAAGGTGGGAAACATATTTTTGAGAGTGCTAAATGAAGGATGACCCAACCGGAAGTGACGCAACCAGATTTCTTTATTGAGGGAAGGAATAGATTCTGACAACAAAGACAGTGGAAGTTGACTCTTAATGCTACTTGTCTCACGCGCTTCCATAAGAAGGTAGAGCCCATTGTCCTCTCTAGCAAGTCCAATCATCTTCCCCGTTTCCTGATCCTGAAATTTGCAAAGTGTAGGAGTGAATGTTACCAAGCATTGTAAATCTGTTGTAAGTTTGTGAATAGATAACAGTTTGGCAGATAATTTGGGCACATGCAAGACATCTCTCAACATTAAATTTTGACTTAGTGGAATATCTCCCTTTCCTGCAACAGTAATAAAAGTGCCATCTGCAGTGACAATCTTTTTATTACTTGGACACGGTGTGTAAGAGATAAACTCTATAGAGGAATGGGTCATGTGATTCGTAGCCCCAGAATCAACAATCCATGTCCCTTTTCCTGTAGATTGTAAAACACTAAGACCATAGGGATGAGAACTACCTGATAATGCCATGGAAGAACTACCTGTGTTTGTGGGTTTGACTAAAGAGTCTAGTAGTTCCCTTAGTCTTGTAATTTCTTCTGAATTGAAATCAGCAGTAGGTTTGGAATGACTTTCCTTGACAACACTTGATTGGACCAAGTGGGCATGTGCTGGTCCTCCTCGTTGAATGTCTTTGGTGTTCCAATTTCGGTTCTGATTTGGCGGTTTTCCATGAAGTTTCCAGCATCTGTCTTCGGTGTGCCTTGGCTTCTTGCAGAAGGTACACCATAAAGAATCCTTGTTATCCCCTCTTTCAATCTCCATTTTGGGAGCTCCTCCGGTTTGACCGTTCTTCCATTGGTCAATGTTCTTCTCTCGACTTTGTGCTACTAAGGCTGAACTTTCAGTTGATTGAGGCTCCATCATCACTCCTCTTCGTGATTCTTCTGTTCGAAAGGCAGCCATGGTTTCATTTAGTGAGGGTAACTCTTTTCCGAGTACTTGAATCCTTATTGGATCAAACTCATTGTTCAGACCGGTTAAGAACTTATAGATTCTATCCTTCTCCTTATAATTTTTTAGTAAAGTAGCATCTGCAGTGCATTTTGCTTCAAAATGTTCATAGTGATCCAACTCCAACCATAGATTTTGTAGAGTTTGGGCATACTCACTAATGGACCGATCTCCTTGCTTGGTAGTTGCAATCTTCATCTTAATTTCGTAAATTTGTGCAGCATCACCAACCTTGGAATAGTTTTCTTTACAGCTGTCCCACACCTCTTTGGCAGTCTTCATGAATATGCATGCATCACTAATCTCAGGCACCATGGAATTCCATAGCCATGATATTACAACAGCATCTTCTTCATCCCATGCAGCAAATTTCCCGTCTGTAGCTTCTGGAGTATCCTTTCCAGTAAGATGATTCAATTTGCCCTTCCCCTTTAAAAAGGTTTGGACAAAATGAGACCATTTGAGGTAGTTTTTACCATTGAGACGAAGGCTAGGTTGAACATTTTTCAGCTCAACAGAGCCGGTGTTTGGGGCAGGGGTATTAACTGGTTCAGACATTCTGAATTTTGTTGGGAAAAACGGCAAGATAGACCGTAAAATAAAATCGGCAATGCAGGCCGCACAGCGGAAACAATGGCAATGCAGGCCGCACAGCGGAAACAATGGCAATGCAGGCCACAATTTTTAACAGGCTCCTATGGATTTTGGAGCTCTGATACCATGACAGAGATAATTTTTTATTATTATTATTGATTAGAGCAGCCTGTGCTCTTAAATAGAATACAATATATTTAGGAAAGGAAATTCCTAATAAATACTTATCATTGCCCTCAATCAATTCTATAAGTAAGGACCAATAATTTCTATAAATACATACACAGCTAATCAAATCCTATTTATGGGATTTTAATCCTATTTAACTATAAAATATACCACTAATTAACACATGTACAGCTCGTTCTGACAAATTAGAATGGAGCATGATGCTCTATTTATACAACAGGAGTTGAACATTCAAGAGTTGAATCATTCAAGCTCTACATTTAAGGTTGGCCTTAATTATTCTATAGTACTGAACTTTTCTTATTCTATTAAATTAAGGTTGGCCTTAATTATTCTATAATGCTTGAGTTTTCATATCCTAAGATATAACTCTAATATACATAAACAGCACCGCTATCATAATAAATTTAATTAACTTACTAAGGTAACCTTAACCAATCAACTGCTGAACAAAGAACTTTCCCAATACATAGTATAGTTCTGTCATCCAGTAGTTAAAATAATGATAAAAGCAATTGTGTTTTGTTTTATGGCAGTTTGTAACTAAGAACTGCTATAACTTCTAAAGTAAAGTTGCTGATGTTATAATAAGCCTTAGGGAATCAAGGGTGTTATATCCCTCCCTTTCTTTATTGTCAACAAAATATTCCCTCTGTAAGAAGACACTACGGCGATTATTCAGTGTCACCTTCCATTTTTTCCTTTTAAAGGGAGATGGAAAAATAAGGAACTAAAATACAGGTAGATCTAATTAAACTACATATAGCTAAAATATATATATATTGCTACAGATTACAAAAAGAAAACTTTCTTTTTAAAGGGAGATGGTGGCAATAAGGAACTAATATAATTAGAATGTGGTATTGCTAGGTATTACAGCATTTTTTTTTTTCCTTTTAGAAGTCTCTATTCTTTCCCTTGCCTTTTTCTCTAAAATCCCTATATCTAAAACAACAGTGTGACAGGTTTGCTTCCACGTGAAGATAGAACACTTCTTTTCCATATTAAGAAAACTGAGTAATATACTTCAGGTATGAACGAATAATGCACAGGCACTAATCTGTTTATGTAGACTAGTTTAACCTAATGGGCCAAATACAAATTACTAATAATAATTATTTTAAAAAATACATTATTTACAACGAATATCATACAACAATTAAATAATTTTTCCGGATATCAAGAACTAACCTCCACATGGAGGGAGAGCTTGTCGATTTGTTCACTGTATTGTGGAAGTGCTTGAACCATCTTCTGTAAGTCCCTTGTTGACATTTCACCACTACCCCTATAAATGGAACACAAAATTGGGTCGGGTTTAAGGTATTAACCAGATGAATGAATGAACATAACCATCAAATACCTATCTAGACTTGAGTATCAAAAAAGGCCAAACTATTTCAATAATAAAAAATGCATGCCTCCGATTTGTATTAAAGTCGGGGAAGAACTTGACCGTTTAACACAACAAGAGAAAGATATATAAAACCAAACTTGTACATCCATGAAACAACTTTAACTTTTAGGAAAATGGGGCTTGACATGGGATTAGAACCTCTGTGACCAAGTGATTAAGAGTTTAATCCTGATGTGGCATCCCATTCTTCTGAATTACAGTTGAATGTCAATACTAGATAGGTTGGTTCTGAACGTTATCCACACTTTAAGCCCAAAGTCGTTTTGTATGAAGAGATGCATTAATATACATAAAACTAACGTTGAACATTCACCTAACAACTGAAAGCTTTTAGGAAAGTTGGTTTTGACAGTTAAAAATAAAGTTAAACAGTACACACATTTCCAAGAGAAATGGGTTACTATTATAAAAAATAACTCAAAGAAAGTTAGTTGCACTTGACTATGAAACACAGTCTCCAACACGGACAACGGGACACGACACAAACACTATGACACCAATAATGTCAAAAATATAAGACGCCAACACCGCTACATATATGATTTATATTTGAGCTTCATTCATCCATCTACTATTAAAAGAGATATTCTAATCAAAATTAATGTCTTTAATTCTTCATTTATAACATTTCCTCAATACATATTTAAGCCTTTTAGATGTGTGTGTGATTTGTCCACAAAAATTTAAAGTGTGTTGAAGCAAAGAAAATAACAAATAACAAATTCTTTTTGAAACATTTGTCTGTACTTTTCGACATGTATTGTATGAGTATCATAAGGATTTCAAACATCAAATTAAAGAGTGTTGAAGCAAAGAAAAACACATTTTTTGGGGGACACTTGTCTGACACATGTCGTAAGAGTGTCATACAAGTGCAGGACACTGACACATGTCAGACACTGCGACACGTCTACTCCTAGAGTTGTACATGCTTCATAGGCACTTAATCATCGACCTATTTACTTTTCAACTTTGGGTTTTCTCTCCAATATTGATTCATTATAAAGAACTCATAACTTTTGTAAAACAATCTAGAACTAAATAGTGCTAGTGTTAATATATCAGTAAAAGAAATGAAATTTAAAATAATACATGTAAGCCATGCACAATACATATCTATATTGTTAGATAAAACTACTTTTCAGGGTAATTTTAAAACTACTTTGGAAATGTAGTTCTGTGACTAGAAGGTCTCCATTCAAGTCGTGAAATCAGTCTCTTGCAAATACACGATAGATCTGACCCTTCCTTTGACGCTACCATGGTGAAAGTTTTATAGCACCAGGTTCCTTTTTTGGCAATATTGTAATGCCAACCCCCAGGATGAATGTATGAATGGATGTTTGAAAATGACAGGAACTTCTCCCAGAAATTCCGTTTATAATGTTAGAAGAGGAGCCCGAGGTTCCTTTTAGAGGGAAGATAAAAAAGTTCAAACTGGTCTACTTACATATTCAAGTGTCACAAACATCATAGGAAAACAACATCCAAATATCAGCCTAGGGTGGTTAGTATTAGAGGTGTGGCTGAAATATTTAATGAAAACAGATAAACAGCAAAGTTGGCACAGTGTGCACAAAAGAGAAGAGTTTCTCTCCGTCATATCCAGACTCAATCAAATATCATAAACAAAAAATCTGTCATGATTTTTCAGGTCATAGAAACATTCCAAATTAGGCAACAATGTTATTTTCAATAATGATTGAATCATTAATACAGTGAGTACAGAATCAAAATCCTGTCAGATTGCAATGTCATTGATGAAAAACTTCCAGAAAATTATTACTCACCTTGAACCATGTTGGATCTGTGCAGCTTTATTCTTTGAAATGAAGTTGGTCATTTTCTCATGCAACCGTACACTAGCCTGGCAAGGCCATCAAAATCACTAGGCATTCAGGTTGCATAACTAACAAAAAGTAGACATGATTCACATAGTAGATCCTAAAGCCTAAACAATAGATACTAAACAAAAAATATCTGAACATACATCGGCAATATGTGCATAACGAAGTTCAAGCCATATAGGATCATGATCTTCCAACAGAACCTCTTTTCTCTCAGGTTGACCACCATTCTTGCCAGGAATCTAGAGAAAAAGTAGATTTGTGTTAATATAGTGGGCACAATTTTAGATGGAAAAAAGAGAAATTGTGGAATACCTCGTGAACATATTTATTTCCCTCCATATTCAACAAATCATGGCACATTGCATCATAAGTCCACTCGTGTATCAAAGGAGCAATCTATAACATCCATAATAGAACCCCCATTGTAAGCAATATGATACAGATTATTGAAATAATCTACAAGCCCATGAGCAAGAAAATAGAGATAAAAACCTGATCGATAGTTCTATCAATGATAAGCAGCTCGCATGTCTCAGTCTGAGGAAAATTAGGTATACTTTTTTTATATTTCATAAGAGAGTCCCAGACACCAGCAGCAAGCTTTGTAGGAATAAGATCATGAAGAGTAGTCATTGTGTTCGCATCTAGTGACCGGGCAGCATGAAATCGAACAAAAGGAAATTCCTAGAGAAAATTACATGATTTAGAACATTGACATACTATGGGAAACTATTAAAATTTTCAAATTCCTACGGCAAAGAGTCAAAGAGCATTGACTACATACTCTTAATGAAGCAAAAACAGAAGCAACTCGAGTAGCCATCACATTCAAACATGCAACAGCTTTTTTATTGTTCTCCTCGTCCCCATATAGCTCCTCTAAAGCTCTCTCATTGTTTGTAACGAAACCCTGCATTAACAGGACAAAATGACAACACAAAATAACGAGATAATCATAAGAATGAGAAAATACACTAAAAAACTTCCTACTGAGCACATTTGAAGGTTAATAAATTTTCTTAAATGAAATAATCTCAACGAGCCGATTTCATGAATTTTGAGCTTAAAAAGTATAGCTACACTATACCTTTTTAGAGAGACGCTATTAGAACAAAATACAAGAATGATTAAAATATCCAATTTGCACAAATCATTGGACGTTCGATCCATTTCCATGATTGTTCCATTTTTACTGCGTGAAAATTACTCCATTATAAATCCTCGACAAGTCTCTAATTTTACAGATTCAGTCAAAGGCGTAATTGTTTGTAATATTTATTCAAAGTATACTGGAATTTGAATCTGAAGAACAAACTTTGTATCTGTTTTGCAGACGTGTTTTTTCAACAGCTAATAGATTCTAATAAGTTATTATAACTGAAATAGTTGACCTGAGCTAATGGCTATGTACATTAATATTGTATATGTGGAAGTGGACAAATACTAGGTGCATGTCTACACTTAATAAGTTTTGAAAATTTCTAATACTGCTTATATAACTATGAAAGGGAAGAGAGTAATCTCATTCATATGAGCAAAGATGTAAAGAGTGGAAGGCAAGATAAATGAAGTACAACCACATACCACATACCTGACTGTCGATGGCAAAATATTCTAAATTCATCTGCCATGCACAGTGAAAGAAAAAAAATCACAATAAGCAACATATGAAATTGTTTTCGACAATATTCAATTTAACATAGAGTTCATAAACATTTTAAAAACAAAAACATAACTTCACCTCTCTTAATGCACCAATGCGAGGCAAAACCAGTGTATCTTTCTTAATCTCCAACACCAATTCTCTGGCAATAGGTGAACTAAAGAAAACAAATGCTCTACAAAAACACAGAATATAACAGGCTTGAAAACCAATAAGTAGAAGTGAAGGTGAAATCGCAAAAAAAAAGGTACGAAAGAACACATACTTCCTGTATAAAGGTTTTCTTCCAGACATATCTGACAAAAACATTATTACACTGCCAACACAGAGGGAGAATCAATAAGAAACAATTCTATAAAACCAGGTGGAATAGGTT